GTACTGTCTTCCGTTTTCTTTTTCCTTGCAGTTATATTTGTGTTCGTATTAACTCGGGGTTAATTAATGGGACTGGAAATTAGTATTCATTAGATAATTGAAGATATGTGGTAGAAAGGGTAGTTTTCGTTTGTCGCCTACTAAAGCTATGGGTTCGGATATTGGCAGTTCGTCATTACTTATTAATTGCTGATTTCCATAACAATGAGTTTAACCAGTGTTGCTCTGACTAAACTAAACGATTCGTGCCAATCACGAATATGCAGACAACAAAAGCCTCTATGTCTTGCTGTGGGCGTGCTACGGTATACAGCATTCTGAGTTTTACGCTTTATGTGCGAGCTTTAAGCGACTTTAATGCGTCATAGCCTTGGTCCTTCGACTGTGCGTGTAAAGTGCATGATTGAAGCAGAAATTGAAAAATAAAGCGGATTAATTTGGTTTTTCACTGAACATCCATTTAAGTACTAGATAAGTGATTATCTAGCTAATCTAGGAAAATGAAATTTGACTTTTCAGTGAACTGCGTCAGGTAAAGCAGATTTGATGAAGCTTTTTAAAATATGCGAATTTCACTTTTTAGGAAAGTTTTCGTGATTGCGCTGAGTTTTTTGGCGAAACAGCGAAGAGTACAACGACGAATTCGTTTTTCTCCACCGTTGTAAATTTTGTCAAGCATTTCAAAGTAAATTTCATTTTATTTTTGCTTGTTATTTATCTTTGTTTTAGCAAAGTGACGAGGAAAACGTAGCTCGCAGCAAAGCTGAGGTATCAGTCTATATTTCAGGCGTTTGCTTTCATCCCTGATGTTTGTCATTTCATCCACTTTTGTAGGAGAAACGGCAGAACCGCTCTTTAAGGTCCAACCAATCTGACAGTATTTCAGAAGTGGTGAACAGTTTAAAAAGGACTACAATTAGACCAGGCTTCGGTGTACAACGGCGCGAGTTTACGCGTAAACGTGATCCCGGTGAAATGGGTCTAGGAACGTTAGACGATATCATTTCCGGTATGGATTTATTCTTCTTTGGATTTCAAAAGTATATCAGCATGTATCAGTATATGATGCTGATCAGTACCATCTGTACGTTTCGTGATTTATTGTTGAGGTGCATGCATAATTTTACCCCTCCGCTATGTTAACCTCTATTGCACTGTTACCTTCTCTCCGTTTGTTTATGGTTCATGACATTTTTACTCACCTTTGCATTGTTTGGCTAAAGATTGCGATTTTTTTGAATTCAGTTGGTTTACATAACAGTATTTTTAAAAAATGTAGGACATTTTTATGATCATAAAACAGAATTCCGCTCTGCCAACGAATACATCTTTTGATTTCTATACGAATTTAGTCCCAGTTTGTACACATCATCTGATGAACTACGTTTCTGTTCTGTTAATGGTGCGCTGAGGATCAGGCGTTTTATACGTGTTTCTTAGAGGTTACGCCTGCGCGACAAATTTTTTTTAAACTTTGGTAATTTTGTATTTCACCGAATTTTGTCAGGTGTAACCGAAATGTAAAATATTTAATTTGTCAGTTACAACTGAAAACGAGCAGGAAATTTTACGTTTAAATCCATCATTAGTTAATATTTTACATGTCCGTTTTGAAGAAAAGCACACCTCTGTACCTGATTTATCCTCCGAGTAATTCGCATACAGTAGCTAAAAACCATACGATTAATGCATCTCATTGTACCGTTGAAACCGATTTAGGACTTCAAAGCGAAACTTGATATGATGGTTAAAGTGCTATTGTGTTTTGACTACTATGAAGAAAGAAATAATGCCATCGCATTTAAGATTATCCAGAAACGTTAGCTGTTACTGTGTTCATGTCCTCAAGTAAATTTTATTCGCATTAGATTATTGGTTATTTAAATATTTACGCAGAAGGTGAGGACGATTATGTTTATCATGTCAGAAAAAAACAGCCGATGTATGTTAAACAAAGTTGAGGTTTAATGTGTTGTAGATGGAGACTTAGGGCATTTTATTCCGGACTATTATCACTTTATTCATATCGTTTAGATTTTGGTTAGGTGTATAGAAGCCAGTCAGCTTGCCGTAACTTTATCTGTGCGTCAAATTTTCAGATTTCACGTTGATGGTCATAAGGCTGTTGATCATATTAATTGAACATGTTGTGATTTCGGAGCCCGTATTGTTCAGGGCAAAGTTTGCCTATTTTTTCATTTCTATCCACTCGCTGGTGACATAAGCACGGAAGTCGATCTGCCCCAGACATAACGAAACTATTATTAATCAGCAAGTCGTTTCACTTCGCAACTAACAGAAACAGAATTTAATTGTATAGACTGCATTAGTGACTTTGACTTAGGAATTAATTAATTGTTTCGCCTTCTGTTCATCAGGCCAGATATCAGCTGAGTCAATGCAGTTGTCTAATTGCTATTCAGTTCCCTGCTGAGGAATAGTGAATCTCTCGTATCTTTGTTCTTCAGTTTGAAAATTATCGCGAAATAAGATTTCTCATGAAAGTCTAACAAAAAGCATTAAAAGTCGAATACACGTTAGGCCCAACCGTTCGTTTGCACATTTGATTGTGATAATCTGATGTGTATGCAGTTTGTTTTCCCGTAATTTATTCATGTTGCTTTAAATTAGGAATTCCGATAAGTTTAAAGTTGAAATTTAAGGCGTCGAAAACTATCCATGTTTTTAGATATTACTAGAGAACCTTACCGCGACGTTGGTCCAAAACGACCAAAGAGTTATAAAGAAGTGGATGGCGTTTGCAGCAACAAAAGCGCTTCCCTTTCTTGTGAAACCGCCATATAGTCGATAGCGATGCGCGCCTAGTGCTGATATGCCAAAGCTGTTTTCCAAATAGTCATGTAATATAAAATTCTGTCTTGTTCTGTATAATATGTACTTTTTTATGTTGTTGGTAACTTGGTGCGCTATTTGTACCAGTGTTGTTTTGAGCACGTTGATAACGCTCCGGTTGCATGAAATCAATAAGCGTTTCGAAATTTTACTAAAATTTTTATTGAAAGCACTCTATTTTAAAGCAAGAGTTTGGTCGGTCACCCGACCCTGATCAATCATCTCGACCCACTGCCTTGTTTCGAATTTTGTTTCTATTTACAATGCAGTGGAACAGAAAAATTTATGGTTATATATCTGCGAACTGACAGTTATGAACTTCATTCGGTTTACAGCAAATCACATATCTTCCAGCTAAATTTTCAGTAGAACAAAACAGTGGAATAAAATTAGCGTTCATTAATAAATTAAGATCGATATTTGTTTATCATGACATGGGTCGTGTGCCTAGGTAAGGTATTTTGCATCGTCCCTTTTATTTGTTGCCTTGAATCATGGACCGGAACCAAATATCATTGACTGTTATTTATAAGGCAACTGATCGACACCTTTCTATATTACAAGATGGAAATTTCTTCTCCATTCATTCTGCAGTGAGACACAGATTCAAGAATATGCTACTTCTGTCTAATTTGGATCTTCTTCGCACACGTGAAGTTGAAGCGGTAAATAGTATCGTGGACTTATATGAGACTATGATCCCTTTCTTGCTTACCGGACTCTCAGTCGATTACGGAAAAATCGACGCTCTCAGTAGTCTATATGTATATTAACCGTATTATTCTTTTGTCAAAGAATCAAAACTTGCCACTCCGTCAGTTTTGAGGACCACTTCTCCTTTCGGATCGCAAAGGCAGACACGTCAGACTGTTTGAATATTCTCCATCCTTTGCTGGTGTTTGAATTTAGTAGAAGATAACCTGAGTCAGTGGAAGCACTTGCTCAGGTGATTCTTTGCCATTCCCGGGGTCATCACGTAGTCGGTTTGTAAAGCAGCTGTTTCGCCTTCCTTTCTAGATCCATTCCCGTTTAGCATTGCGCCTAAACCGTCACAGCTATTTCTTCTCAGTTTGTATAAATAGCAAGTGTACACCAAAACTTTAAAAAGTCTTTACTGTTGACAACTGCGCGACGCGTGAACTCGCCGATTCGTCTCAGAAGGCTAATTTCAGCCGCTTGTAGCCGGGATCAAAGTTTTTCAGTGAGTGTCCACGACTCATGACTGTAGATAAGCATGGGGATGCAAATCGACATGAACCCGAGAGCGTAGTCCAGTTTCGCTTCTGTTTTAGTCACAGCAGTTCACGCAGGACTCCATTTTCTGCTGCAGTCCAAATCGATCTCTTCACATTTTCTATGTACAGTTCAAACAAGAGGGGAGACAGAACGGAGCCTTGGTGGGGCGGGCGACTAGTGACAGCGTTGAACGATCTTGACTTAACGCTATCTACTCTGGCAGCACGTGCTATTAGCCTATAGTGACTGGATGTCTCGTAGCAACTGGCCATGTGTTCGCACGAATTCCCATAGACTACTGCGATCGATCCGGTCATACGCTTTCTTTCTGTCCACAAAGCACGTGTAAACCGGGTATGCAAACTCCTACGATTTCTCAGTAGTGTGTCGCAATCTGGTCAGAGCTGCCTGGGTAAACTTTAAGCCCACCCACACGGCTCTTCGATCTGTAAGTCATCCATTTCGCGATATCTCTTCGCAGATGTTTTCATGAAGGCTAAATGGCGTAGCGCCAGGATAATTCAAGTGCTTTCTGTCGTCTATACTTTGATGGTGGCATTACTACCCCAGTTCTAAAGGTCACCATTGTCTTTCACGTAGTGAGTGATCACAGTTTTTGGAGCAGGAGTTAGCCGCAATTTATTTCATTCCCTAAAGCATGAACTATACCACGGCGTGTTTAGCTGATAATGCTTTATACAATTTCTGTCATTTCGTTTATTTAAAAATTAATATCCGTTGCTTGCTGTTCTTCAGGCTAGTCTCTACATTTCCTCATGGTCAGTTATTTTCTTAATGGATTATCTACATCGCTGAACTTTATTCTCTACGCTTGTATGAAGGTATCCGGATCTCCCAGGGTACCATATTTACAGTCTGAAAATTCACTCCTGTTCCTCACCAGACGTTCCGATGGCATCAGCTTCCATGTTCGCCACTGCTTTCGCTGCCGATTTGCGTTCTTTCTCGTGCCACATTCGAGTTTAAGCTTGGTACATTTGGTTGTAAATTTCCAAGCCACTTTTTCGCATGCAGCCTCGGCATTGGGAATCTTAGCTGAGCCTATCTTGTCCAGCAGTAAGTTCATTCTGATGTTCAGGCGGCAGGACAGTCTGTTTCAGACCGCATCAGTCGGTGGCAGTCCCGAGTAAGCCGCTCTTAAAGAGTTTCCACGTCAGCGATCATTACTTGGATCAGTTCTGTAGTGTTGTTTGCAAGTTTCTTTCGTATCCACAGAAATTAATGCTTTGCATTTGCCATCGCATGGTATTCCGTCATTTGCACGCCCCTAGCAACATTGTGATGAACAGTTGACAGCTTTGCACCTCTCTTAGCGCCAGCATCCATTACAGAGTTGTTAGACGATGCGATTATCACATTGATCAGGTATACGACTGCCCGCTTCGATGCTTGAACGATGTGTTCATTACGGACAGTCCGTCATTTTCATAAAACCATAACGGCTTAATGCCGTTATTGTTTAGAACACTATGGTTGTTCATTGCAATTGTTTTACTGCCTTTCAGTGTCTACTACGATACGCGCATTTTCAAATCTATTGCACTATCCTACGATGAATGCCGTTGACCGTTTGGGCAGAACACGTTGGAATTCCTCAAGGAGGGATTCATATTCCAACTCTGAATTGGGCGCTTAGACCTTTAATAACGACAACTTTTTGGCCTGCTCTAACCTCAGTCGAGGGATTGCCACTCTCCCGCCGACAGGCTTCCATTCTTATAATGATTCCTTCAGTTAGTTTTTATTTTACCATTACATGAACACCGGCCTTAAGCTCTTGTCATGATGTTGACAGCTGAATCAAGTAGCATCCACTTATAGAGGTTCAGAATTCCAGAGCCTTGGAGCTTCGTCGACTAGTGTGCAACTATGTTCAGTTGGTACCTTGCGGCCTTATCAAATTAGTGCCTAGTCTTTCCTTCTGCATGAGGATGTTGCAGTTTTCGACTGTTAGCTCCCAGTGTTATTGTCGTTCCCCTGGAGTCTAATCTGATAAGCCCTGGCGGCATTGTGGTGTCTCTCTTGTCTTCTCAGT